AACTTCTGATTTGTTTTGGGTTTTGGTACGAGTTAGCATCTTTAACACAAACTTCCACTTACACAAATGTTAAAGAAGAACCTGTAGAGTCAAAACTCACTTTTTTTTTTTCATGCAGTAAAGCAAAATATAACTATGAGCTGTGATTGTAATCTGGCTCTCTTGACTTTCCTTTAACCCAAATCTAATTTTAATGACAGAGATAAAAAAGAGATTTCCTGGTGTGGAAACATCCATCCCACAGACTAAATTAACTGTTATGTGGCCAGCAGGCTTGACCTCAGCCGACAGAATCTGATTCACACGGAAGACCAGACTTCCTGTCTCCAAATAAAAATATCCTCCAGGACCTAACGGGTGAAAACATGGGCTCAAGGGGGCGCCAAAGTAAAGCTTTTAACCATCTTCAAGGCCAAGCAGGAGTTTGGTCTCTATTATCTGCTTTCAAAGTGAAAACACAACAGATCCTAAATTAGTTTGATGACTAGTGCATTTTCCTCCGACTCATTTGTCTCCCAGCATGCCGAGATGAAAACAAGCCCGCAGCAGAGCTCCAGCAAGTTGAGTCATCCTGCAGGACTCCTTCATGTCAACAAACAGTTCTTCTAAAAACGGTCTGAGAGCTTCCTGTTTATTTTGGCTTCACACTCAGGTTAGTGCCCTTGTGACTGGCTGGGAACACACAGATTACAGCCTCTGTGCAAATTAGGATTAAAAATCCACTGGTAAAACGGATCTGAAGGAACATCTAACATCAAATGAACAACACAGACACAAACAGGAAGAGCTAAAGTAAGTGTTGTCTTACGAAACTGAGGTCCTCCTTGCGGATCTTGTGGAAAACCATGTGACTGATGTGTTTGTGAAGCAGTGGGAAGAGAGCAACCTCTGGAACCTGATTGTTTCTGCAAACCAGCAGGTTGGTTTTATCTAAAAAGAGATGAAAACAAAGAAATCCAGCTCAAAAATGTCCAGTTTTAAAACGTCCTTCACAGGTTTCAATGTGTTTCAATGAATTCAAGATTCTAAAGTTTGCGTTTAAAGGTATTCATGGTCTCCATCCTTCTTATGACTTTGACAGTCTCTCATTGCAAAAACATTGCAGAGAAACAAGGTCTTCATGTCATTTCTATTTACATGTTCCAAAATCTAAATTTAGACAGTGGGGTCTTGCTCATTCTCCGTGGCAGCTCCAAAGCTGTGGAACAAACTACCACTTGAGCTGAGTACGGCTACTGACATTACTCAGTTTCTTTCGCAGGGCTTTTTGATTTTTGCATTTAATCATATTTTTATTGCAGTTTTTACTGTGGTTTTGAAATGTTTCAGTTTTATTTTAAATGTTGGGTAGTGTTAAGAAGAAGAAAAATTACTTTTAGTGCCTCTCAAGATAAAAATCACGAGGTGCTTCACAAGAACAAAAAAATCAAAAACTTTGAAATTGACAAATTAAAATATGATCACAAAAATTAATAGAAATGAGAAAATTGTGATAAAAATATATGAGGAAAGGGAAAATGAAAACTAATAAGAAAAGTTAATCAGTGGATCCCAGGAAAGGCAGAATTGGTAGAAAGAGCAGAACAAAGAGAAGGCAGCAATGAAGAATCAACCAAAGGTCAAACCAAAGCCAGCTTGAACAAGTGAGTTTTCAGCTGCTTTTTAAAGGAGACCACTGAGTCCACTGATCTCAGGCTCAGGGGGAGAGAGTTCCAGAGTCTGGGGGCCACAGCAGCAAATGATCAGTCACCTTTAGCCTGGTGCGCTGCACAACCAGTAGGCTTTGATCACTGGACCTCAGGGACCTGCTGGGGGTGTAGGGACTAAGAAGATCACCAATGTAAGATGGTGCTTGTCCATGTAAGGCCCTATAGACCAGAACCAGGATCTTGAAATGAACCCTGAAGTTGACTGGCAGCCAGTGGAGCTGGAGGAGAAGGGGGGTGATGTGGGTGTGTTTGGAGGACTTGGTCAGAAGCCAAGCACAGGCATTGTGAACCACCTGTAGACGGTTCAGGGAGGTTCTGCTCAGACACGTGAAAAGAGAGTTACAGTAGTCTAAGTGTGAGGAGATGAAGGTGTGAATAACAATTTCAAGTTCAGAGCAGGACAGAATGGGACTCAGCTTTGCAATGTTCCTGAGATGGAAGAAGGAAGAGCGAACAAGAGAACTGACATGAGAATCCAGGGCGAGAGCTGGGTCAAAGGTCACACCAAGATTACTGACAGAGGGTTTGGTGTGGGAAGCAAGCTGACCAAGAGAGTCTCTGACTTTGGGAACCAGCTTGTCTGGGGCACAGATGAGGATCTCAGTCTTAACTTCATTCAACTGCAGAAAGTTCCCAGCCATCCAGGTTTTAACAGTCTAAGCAGGTGTGTAACAGCTGCAGCTTAGACATCTCATGGAGCTTAAAAGAGATGTACAGTTGGATGTCATCCGCATAAAGATGGTAGGAGATTCCTTTAAAGGAGCTCAGGATGTGCTGAAGAGGAAGCAGATAGAGGAGCAAGAGTAGAGGCCCCAGCACAGAACCTTGTGGGACACCGTGGGTGAGGAAGGTGGTGGAGGACCTAAACTTGTAGACGGCCACAGAGAAGAAACACCCAGATAGGGGGACAGCAGTAGGTCAACAGGTAGAGCGGGTAGTCCAGTAATCGGAAGGTTGCGGATTCGATCCCGGCTCTGACCAGAGAATGCTGATGTTGTGTCCTTGGGCAAGACACTTGCCTGCTGGTGGTGGTCGGAGGGACTGGTACCGCCTGTGCTCGGCAACCTCGCCTCTGTCAGTGTGCCCCAGGGCAGCTGTGGCTACATTGTAGCTCATCACCATCAAAGTGTGGGTGGAGAAGGGTCAAGACTTGTGTTTTTAGAAGCGGGTGGATTACAGAATTCTTAAAATAAGCAGGGCAAAACAGTCCAAATAAATAAGTATTAATTGATTGACATGTTGACTTATGACCTTTTGGGCTAGGCGGACAACATCTGGTTAGCTGAAACGTGTGTCCCTCTGTACGGAGCTCCTCCTTTTGGTAACAGTGCATCAGTTCCCTCAGAGAGCCGAAGCTCCTCTTGGTCCCACTCAGGATGAACTCTCCTGACTCCGTCTTCACAATGGGACAGTGTTTGTACTCCACCATCGCCTCATACTGAAAATCCAACAGAAACACAGTCAGGTGTGCAGAACAAATATGAGCAGCTTTATTTTAAAAAATCTGGCAGAAATAACAGTAACAGGATTTCAGATTTAGATTTCACAGCTCTGCGGTTAGAAACTCTCTTCCAGTCTGATGGTGCATGTTTTCATGTTTCTGTATTGCTTCTCGGGAAACTGATATAGAGTGTTTTCCTGTGTTTTTCTGGACTTTTTTCATTTTTTCAACCATGGATCTGGTCAGCTGGTCTCTAAATACAATTGATCTCTACCCAAAGAAGGGCCAAGGAAGAGCCCTCCTGTCCTGATAGAATGCATTCAGTGTGATACGTGATGGATTCCTGGGGCGAGTTAAAGCTCGTGTGTCCGACGCTGCTGACCGTGGAGGACATATAAAATATTCATATAATTAAACTCATGATAATCATGTTTCTGTAAGTAGCAGGATGATTGTCTGCAGCTGGGGAAGGTTGTTCCTACAATCACCTGTTGTGGGCGTGTTCCTGGTGTATAGCAAATTACAAAAGCTGTCGGGGGGGAATTGGCAAGCTGAAGGGATATCATGCTGTTAACACTCAGACTCATGTGTCATATGAGCAAAATTGTGAGCTGGATGCTCTGACCAGCAAACTGGCTGAGCTTTCCAAATTTGTACGCGAAGTGTAAACTGACCTCCAACTGAGCTGTTGGGAGTCGTCCATGAGACCAATGAGAGAACTTACGGCAGACACAACAAGCTCTAGCCTCAAACAAAACAACTGCTCTTATCTGAATCTGGCTTCCCACATCGGCCTTGGAAGGCCAAATATCTCAAACTCCCCTGGATGTTTACAGGTCCTTCTCAAAAAATTAGTATATTGTGATAAAGTTCATTATTTTCTGTACAGTACTGATAAACATTAGACTTTCATATATATTAGATTCACACAGCTCATGAAAATCCAAAATCCCTATCTCAAAAAATTAGCATATCTTGAAAAGGTTCTCTAAACAAGCTATTAACCTAGTCATCTGAATCAACTAATTAACTCTAAACACCTGCAAAAGATTCCTGAGGTTTTTTAAAACTCCCAGCTTGGTTCATTACTCAAAACCGCAATCATGGGTAAGACTGTCGACCTGACTGCTGCCCAGAAGGCCATCATTGACACCCTCAAGCAAGAGGGTAAGACACAGAAAGAAATTTCTGAACGAATAGGCTGATCCCAGAGTGCTGTATCAAGGCACCTCAGTGGGAAGTCTGTGGGAAGGAAAAGGTGCGGCAGAAAACGCTGCACAACGAGAAGAGGTGACCGGACCCTGAGGAAGATTGTGGAGAAGGACCGATTCCAGACCTTGGGGGACCTGCGGAAGCAGTGGACTGAGTCTGGAGTAGAAACATCCAGAGCCACCGTGTACAGGCTTGTGCAGGAAATGGGCCACAGGTGCCGCATTCCCCAGGTCAAGCCACTTTTGAACCAGAAACAGCGGCAGAAGCGCCTGACCTGGGCTACAGAGAAGCAGCACTGGACTGTTGCTCAGTGGTCCAAAGTACTTTTTTCGGATGAAAGCAAATTTTGCGTGTCATTAGGAAATCAAGGTGCCAGAGTCTGGAGGAAGGCTGGGCAGAGGGAAATGCCAACATGCCTGAAGTCCAGTGTCAAGTACCCACAGTCAGTGATGGTCTGGGGTGCCATGTCAGCTGCTGGTGTTGGTCCACTGTGTTTTATCAAGGGCAGGGTCAATGCAGCTAGCTATCAGGAGATTTTGGAGCACTTCATGCTTCATCTGTTGAAAAGCTTTATGCATATGAAGATTTCATTTTTCAGCACAACCTGGCACCTGCTCACAGTGTCAAAACCACTGGTAAATGGTTTACTGACCATGGTCTTACTGTGCTCAACTGGCCTGCCAACTCTCCTGACCTGAACCCCATAGAGAATCTGTGGGATATTGTGAAGAGAAATCTTTTGTAAGTTCTTGCTGTGTTTGTCTTCTAATTCCATTTTTGGTTCTTTTTTAAACACAGCTAAGGTTTTTCTTTACCTTGCTGATGGTTTCGTTTGCAGCTGCAAACATCTTATGAAATATCATGTTTGCAGCCGCAAACCAAACCGTCAGCAAGGTAAAGAAAAACCTTAGCTGTGTTTAAAAAAGAACCAAAAATGGAATTGTGAAGAGAAAGTTGAGAGATGCAAGACCCAACACTCTGGATGAGCTTAAGGCCACTATCGAAGCATCCTGGGCCTCCATAACACTTCAGCAGTGCCACAGGCTGATTGCCTCCATGCCACGCCGCATTGAAGCAGTCATTTCTGCAAAAGGATTCCCGAGCAAGTATTGATTGTATAACTGAACATAATTATTTGAAGGTTGACTTTTCTTGTATTAAAAACACTTTTCTTTTATTAGTCGGATGAAATATGCTAATTTTTTGAGATAGGAATTTTTGGTTTTCATGAGCTGTGTGCCAAAATCATCAATATTAAAAACAATAAAAGGCTTGAACTACTTCAGTTGTGTGTAATGAATCTAATATATATGAAAGTCTAATGTTTATCAGTGCATTACAGAAAATAATGAACTTTATCACAATAAGCACATTTTTTGAGAAGGACCTGTATGTACAGAAGCTCTGTTCCACACTCCCTCAAATCCTCACACAGGCCTGCGTGCCTCTCGGATCAGCTCTCCTTAGGGTCATATCATAACATCTTAGGCAATTGACACTGGGATTGAACTGAGAGAGTTCATGGACTCGCATACTGAAGCACACACGAATGTACCTTCACACAACAATTCGCAGACACGCACATGCTCCTTGATCTCAACGTGTTCCTCACTCCCCTGATCTAATTTCCCACTTCTGGAAGAAAATCCACCCCACCCCCACACATATGTTTTCTCATGTTGTAAATGTCTGAAATATGCGCTTCTATGAACTGAGGTGTTCCTTTGTTTCTCATATCTATGTGTTGTTTTTTGTATGCTCTTGAACAGGTTGTGCTGAGATGTAATTTTGTTGTGGTGATGCTGGTTTTAAAGTCTAAAGGTGGGTGGGACGTCTTCCTGGACGTCTTATAATATACAACGGCTTCCTTGATCTCTCCGGTGTTTAGGATGAGATTGTTGCCTGAGCACTTGTGGTAGGAGCTGGACCTCCCTTCTGTGGTAAGTTTTGTCATTGTTTGATACAAGAGCCACCACAGTGGTGTGATCTGCAAACTTCATGATTGTAAATACTTTATCATTAGGAAAGATTTTGACAAATCCTGCTCCTAAAACCAGTGTATTACATAGATTTTTGTTAAAAACAGACGTTATGGCTCCCTCTAGTGGTTGGCAATATAGAGATCTGTATTTTGGGGGATATATAAACAAAAACAGTTCCCTTATTTTTTTTTTTTTTACCAAAACAATCACACAGTTGTAATTTAAAGCTGTAAACTTGCTATTAAACATAATTCTTAAGCTTCTAGTTGTTTTCCTGCCTGAAGAACTAAACTAGAAGGGAAATAAAGGTTTTCAGATGGAAATGAACCAACTGAGTAAATCTCTGCGTACTTACCCCCACGATGAATGACATGAAATATTTGTCATACTCCTTGGGGCTGCAGCGGAGGATGTACAGGCCCTGGCAGTTACCCGAGTGGCGCAGCTTACTTACTGTGAACTCCATCCTGTGATCAAAGAGACACAATGTGGGCTATTGTCTTACGACTGTGGTTTTGGGTGCATGACAAACACGTGTGATGTGCTGTGTTTTGAGTGGGACACTCACAATATGGGGCCGTGGCAGCAGCTCTGAATGCACTCCAGAAGTCTCGGTGGCGCGACCTCTTTACACAGGTAGTGATGTGCATCGGCCACCAGTCGGTAGTATCCATCAACTAAAGATACAAACGACAGTGCCCCCGACAACGAATGAAACTCCAGCTCCTTGTTGATGCCCAGAGGGAGAGAGAGAGGAGAAAAACAGAATAAATCAAGCTTTTCCCACATCGATTAGATTAAATTTGTGGCTATTCCTTATGTCCTCAAGAAAAAGGTTAGAAAAGTCACATTAAGGTATATCTGAAATAGTAACTGTATTTTAATGATTGTCATATGATTTAGGCTTAAAAGGGTTTATTAGATTTGTTCTTTTTCCATAGGATGAGAACTCCTTTGTGACATTTAAGAACTGGGTAGATTTTCACTCTTCCCATACAAAGGGCCAAAATCATAGATACAGGCATAAATACACATATACTCACGCTTTTATTGAGGGTTCTACGATGTATTTTAACTGGACAAATCTATTTTAATGTATTGGTACCGATTACAACAGACTGCAAATTGTGGTTTCTCCTTGGAATTGTTCCGACAGCCCTTGTTAGATTGACCAATGCTCATCTGTCCCTCACAGATGACTGGAGACCATGGACTGAGAGGACCAAGAAAGAAGCTTCTGGTTCAGAAGAGACACCTTAAAGCTGAATGTAAATCTGTGGTTGTTCCAATGGACGAGACAAATGTCCTCTGGAAAAACATTGTATGGTACGGAGAAACAAGACTGAGCCATTTGGACACAATGTCAAATGGTAATGCACAGCGCTTTATCAAGGACTCAAAAGTGCTTTACACTTTAGTCATTAATCCCCCCCACACACACACACATACTGACAGAGGTGAGGCTGCCAAACAATTGGCACCGCCAGCCTTTCAGATCCCCACCAACAGGCAAGGTCAATGAAGTGCCTTGCCCAGCAACACAATAACCAAGACCGAGTGGAGGTTTTGAACTGGCAACCCATCTGTTACAGGAAAACCTTCTACCCGAGACACCTTTGCCCCAAACGTTTGTTTTTGATGGAGTTGAACCTTAAAATGCTGTCAAGCACGGTAGTAGTAGCATCATACTATGGTACTGGTGCATTCGACAAAATAAATCATAAGAGAAGAACCTCCAAAGAATGTAATTTATAGTTGAAACTTGGACCCAGAGGGATTGTCCAACAGGAAAATCATAAAAAAAAAAAAATAAAAAAATCTGATCAGGTTTCTGAATGAATTAAGCTTCTGGAATGGCCTTCCCAAAGCCTCAACCAAAATTTGTCAAGTATGGTTTTACGCCAAGTCAGCGCAGGAACCAATTCTGCCAAGAGTGGCCAAATATCGGGTGTGAAGGTTGTTGATGGCTACAAAACACACATGGTCCAGGCAGGAATTGCTAAGGGACATTAAACCAAATATTAGTGAGTGTTTGTGCCGATGTTTGAGCCTGTATGTTCATGTTGACCCTGTGAGTGACATTATACGTCTCCACTAGTAGATTTAGGTCGAATGATTTGTTTTAAGTTTCAGTCACTAATTCTGCTTCTTTTTGTTCCTTAAATATCTTTTAAAAGTTTGTTTATCTCCTTTTTGGTAACATCTATTCCCGATTAAACCAGCGTTGTTGATGTTAATAAAAGAAGCTTTCTCATATTTAAAGCACATCCTATTGAAGTGATATGAGGCTCACAGACTGATGATCAGTGACTTAGGCCTAGTCCACACGTAGCCGGGGTTTTTTAAAAACGAATATCCGCCCCTCCAAAAACTTGCATCCACACCACCTCGTTTCAAAACAAAACTCTGTCCACACGTACCCGGATAAATACGTTGTTAAGGACATGCCAGACCTGTAGGCGGCAGTACTTCCCCCGTTCTTAACCTCGTCCTTCGTCTGTGGTCTTCCGCAAGGAGCAGTAATTCCGCTTGCAAAAACAAACGAGCAAAAAGCGCTTGGACAATTGAGAAAGCGAGCGCAGCTCTGAGGGCATCCATGATGCCGGCTAGTGTAAACACAGGTCGCACACGTGATGTCAGCATTTTTTGTCGCGGAAAGCGACGTTGCGGACCTTAAAACTCCGTTTTTGTCTGTCCACACGCAGACACCCAAAACAGAGAAAACGCAGATCTTCACTTTGGCCGGAGTTTTTAAAAAGATCCGTTTTCGTGTGAAAAAACTCCGTTTTCGTGTGGATGACAGGCCAAAATGTAGAAAAATATCTACGTTTTGGCAGATCCCCAGCTACGTGTGGACAGGGCCTAAGATGACTTGTAATTGCTCATTTAGAGGTAATAGAGGTGAGAACTGTACCAGGATCTGGCTGTCCTGTCTGGTGAGGGAAACTATGCGACTTTCTGCTGAGCCTTCCTTACTGCCCTGTTTGATGCTGATGTCGATCACCTCTGGGAAGTCACAGTAGACCTGCAGCTCCCGGATAAACACAACATTAGTTTTTATTTACCCAAAAACACCAGGGTGAATCACACCAACCCATCTGCTGCTCCTTACCTCCTCTGCACCCTCCTCCTCGGTCCCTTTACGCCAAAGAATACCCTTATTGCCATTAACGATGATAGTGGCCTCTTGTGAGGAGAGGTCAGTGACCTGGAAGTGTTCCGAGTAGAAAGACGGCAGCAGCATCTCCAGGCTTATCAGGTATTTGAGCTTGAGGTTACAAACTGTGGCCTTGCACTCGCTGAACTGCTGGATGAACTTTTTGAAGCGATAGCGGATTCTCTTCCGAGTTAACAGGTTGTAGCTTTGGATGTGGCTCTGCATGCACCTTGGCAGGAGCGACTTGTAGCTAAAGGCAAAGAAGGCATTTGTGATTCGGTGCAGATGGAGGAGGAAAGAACACAAAATAAAAAGAGGAATGAGTTTGAAGAACCAACAAGCTCACCATTATCTCAAAAAAGAAATGAAAATTAAAAGAAAAACTTTTAAAGGCTGATTCAAATGTTTCTAATGAACCATAAAAATGTAAAGAGAGAAGCCATTTGGTTGTACCCCATATCCCGACCAGAGAGCAGCCACTTGGATGAGTTTTTTTTATTTTATTTAGTATCTTAAACACTTGTGGATGGTGGTCTTTGTTTTGTAAATGTGGCTATTACAGGTTTTCTGAATTGCTAAAACTTTATAATAATTTTCAAACCAAGCAGCCAATTGTCTTAGCTGTGGTGGTGCTGAGGGGGTCAGAAAATGCCGGAGTTCTATTAAACAGACATAACCCAAAACTTATTCACTCTTTGATGAGCAAGCATTCAACAATATGGAAAATGTTAGGGAAATAAATAATTTTTAGATTTTATTTTGACTTTTTATGTCCAAAAACACACCTTACTTTTTAATTAGTTTAATTTGCAGTAAAATAAATCATTACTGCATGCTATTTTGGGAGAATTTCTTCCACGTACACTCATTCAAGATTTTTCACATTTAAAATGTAACACCATGATTTTATTAACTGAGAAGTGTTTTCTTAAAAGAAAACTGTGTAATGGATAACTTATTGTTTTATTTTGACTCCTTTTATTGTACAAGGATAGCTTCAGAAAGTAAAACCTGTCTCCAACTTTTATATATTTCCACATAACTACATTTAACATGAAGTTACACAATCCTAGTGCTGATGTGGGACAGCGGTCGTGCCTCCTACCTGGTGTTGTTGTAGATGTCTACCGGTAAGAGATCACTCTCTTTAGCCAGCCTCATCATGTCCAGCACAGCCATTCCCAGACACTCCTCCTGAGCTTCATGGCTCACAGGAATTTGAATCCGACCGCTCAGAAAGTCGCTACGCCACTGGATAAAAGATAAAATGATTTTAAATATATACTGAGTTGGCTTTTTCATTTGGATCCTGACAATGACACCTACAGAACACAACAACATTTAGAGGATGTTGTAACCACTCAGTTGTTAAAGGGGAACTAGGCAGTTTTGGCTTGTTTTTTGCACCCACTAGTATCTGTTTGTAGAACCGTAACCAAAACCCATCTTCTCACTGTGCGTTCATCTTTCTAACACCTTAATCTAACAGCTGAAACGTCTCCCCAGCCTTCCTTAGTGTCTAAAGGACTGAATTAAACAAATCAGCTGAGTTCATGATCTAAACATGCAGGAAACATGCTGGAAGCAGACTGGAGCACCAGGTATGTCAGTTCAATTTTTTCCAAGTCCCAACAGAACAGCCCGCTAGTCTGAAGTTGCCAGTAGAATATTCTGGCCACAGGGGCGATAGGGGCTGAGTTGCCTTTCATTAACTCTGTAAAGGGTCATTTTAGCACATGCTGGCTCAAGAAAATTATTTAAAAATATGAAAAAGTTGCAAAGTATCCCTTTAAAGTCCAGCGTATTTTTGTCAACTTAAAAAACATTGCATTTAAATGAAATTGGCAATAATGAAGGTACAACTGGGAGCCTTTTTCCTAGTTTACGTGTCCGTTAGAAAACTGAATTACTGAATGAAGGGCGTTCCCCTCCACTACAGCAGGTGGCAACAAGAACCCTTTCATCTTGACATCCTTTCAGTTAGCTTGTAGCAACACAGATATCAAACTGGCAGGAGTGAAGCAGATGGAGTTAAAACAGGATAAGCACATTGCCGGAAGGACTAGACAACAACAACGCTGCAGCACAGATTATTTGGTATGTACTGTACTGTTTGATGGTGTTACACGTGTTACTTTGTGGCGATGATATTATCACTTCCAGAAGGGGAGTGCCCAGCCAGTCACAGCTCGGGTACTGTTTAAATCCAGAGTATTCTGGTTTCTAACAGCATTATCTGGGTACCTCAGTTCAATTAGAACTACTCCAGTTCAGTTAGACTTCAGCCACACTGTCGTGTTTGCATGCATTACAAAAGGCCAACTTCAGTCGAACTAAGGCAATTATTCTGTTTTCTGACACTGCATGTATACATGTCGATGATATAAACGCACGTTTGTCACGACTCAGCTCTTTGCATCATTGTGACTCTGGCAATGAAACCACACCAACATCAAGATGATACATGACAAATAACTAAAGAACTTTACACTACAATGTATCATTCATCCATTCACACACATTCACACGCTAAATGTAGCCAGTTTCCCTGGGACAGAGACGATGGGTGTATGAAAATTACACAAACGTGAAAATGGGAATGTTAATGAAATAAATGAAAAAAATTGTTTACAAATATTAATAAACACACACACACACACACACACACACACAAGTAAACAACTGAACCCTGTCACCATAGGTAACCCCTGTTCCTCATTTTAGCTTCTTAAAAAAATTACTACTTCACTTCCTGTTTTCAAAACTGTAAACAACAGTGAGCTGAAAGACTGACTGGCAGTCGGTCAAAGATGGGGAAATGTGCACATTTTATCTCCACCCAACAGTTACTCTTATCACTTTTATAAAACGCTAAAAAGGACAAAGAAGTCAAATTTACTGAGTAGTTTAGCAAAAAGAAACTGAAGCAAAGAAATCCAAAGGCTGATGATTGCTACAAAACTGAGACTAACCTGAGCAAACAGGTAGGCTATGACACAGTCGTCCATGACTGGCGTCTCCATTCCTTTGGACAAACCATATCGATGAGCACAGGAGTTACTGCCATTATACCAGCCAGGAAAATAGTATCTGCACACAGAGAGAGAGAAGAATGGTCACAGAACAATGAACACAAAAACATGAAAAATCCAAAACAGATTGTGGAAAAGAATAAATAATTATCTACCTGATTCTGAGGTGAAGGCTCTCATTGTCTGTGTGGTGTAGTTTAAAAACGTGATTAGGAGGAAACCAGACTTGGTCACTTTCTCTCATTAAGCCAAACAGGTTGCAGTACACTGGAGTAATATCTGATGAACAAATAAAAAATATGAGTAAATTGTCTTTATAGCTGTTTCTAAACACAACGTATCACCAACCTTATCCCTTTAAAAACAGGGTTTTTTTCTGGATAGCAAATTCATTCATACAGGTATGAGAACTGGGTTATCCAAAGTGCGACTCATGGGCCATTTTAGGCTCTAGTAGTGATTTTTTTATGCTTTCCACTATTGACCATTTGCACGTGACGTCATGCTGCTCACGGGACCGCCCCTTTTGCCATGATGGTTGGCAGAAAGATTGTTTAAACTCGTTGAAACTCCTGTAAAGTTAGACAAAACAAGCCAGTTTGTAGCTTTTTATCACTTTTATTCAGTTGATTTGACAGTAAATTGGTAATGGTTTGCTGAGTGGATGCCTGCACTAACAGACAAGGATGTAAACTCAACAGTTTTGTTTTATAAACCGCAGCAATCAAACGGACTAGCCCTCAAAGAATTTTTGGATTTGCTGTGAATACGTTTTACCGGGTAAGATTAACGTTCATTTATTTCATGAAGAAGACAGGAACTGACCTGAAATGATAAATGTGATGCATTTATATTACCGTATTTTCCGGACCATAAGTCGCACTTTTTTTCATAGTCTGGCCGGTCCTGCGATTTATACTCCAGAGCGACTTATTTACCAAATTATGTAGGCTATACCGAGCTGCTGCGGGCCGGCTCCGGACCAGGAATGAGCTCCCCTGCCCCGCTGGGAGGGTTTCAAACACCGCCATCACCTACTGCAGCCTGTGGTGGGGTGCTGTGGGCCGGCTCCGGCCCAGGAATGCGCTCTACCCGCCCGCTGGGAGGGTTTGAAACACCGCCATCCTCTGCTGGAGACCGTGGCGCGCTGCTGCGCCCTGGTTGTTTATTCTGTTATTGTTACCGGTACTTGTCTTGCAATGTGAAATGCTTGGTCTCAGATTTTGTAAGAAAAATAATAAAATTTCCCCCCAAAATGTGACTTATAGTCCAGTGCGACTTATATATGTTTATTTCTTCTTCATTATACATTTTGTGGCTGGTGCGACTTATACTCCGGAGCGACTTGTAGTCCGGAAAATACGGTACTTATTTGGTGTTGAATGATAATCCTATATTACCCCATGGAGGATGTGCGGTACCTTTGTTGTTAAGAGATAACTTGTCCCATCCCAGTGTGTGAGTACAATCTGAACTCGGTGACACCACCTGCGACAAAAACTGGTAGGGATCCGGACTTTTCTTTAGTTTTATCAGTCAGTTCCAGCGTAAAGTGAAACACTTTTTATCATGTAATGTTATAAATCCAGCGAGGTGAATCCTGGCAAAGTCGGCAACTTGTTTATATCGGTGAACAGCAGCAGGGAGAAAGTAAGCCAACGTTCATAAGCTAGCTACTACTTAACTTTGTAAATACCGCTCTCTGTGAGCCCCACTTAGAGGTGCTAAATCTACCCACAAGCTAACTGGGCTAGAACCAGTAGAAACCAGGCTAAACTGTAAAAAAAGAAAAAAGAAAAAAATCAATCAACCTCACTCACTATTTTTCCTCTCCATTCAATACTACCGTAATTCACTGTTGCCCCACTTACTTCTTCTGATAACTGAACTGGGCTTGAACTAGTTGAAGACATGCTAAAGATCACAAAAAATAACAATGACAAGAAAAAAAAAACAATCTCAGGTGTTCCTTTGTTTAGTACTTGTGTCGCTCACTGTTTACATGCTTTTGCCTCCAATGTGGTGGACCCACGTGGTTAGGTGGCATGGGTGCAAATGGTCAATAGTATTCAAACACGCTATGAATATTAGCCTGCCAGAACTAGATGGTAAAGCACTTTTTAAAAATACTTTAGGGAAATCTTTACTAATGCAAAGCAAAAAATAAATAAAGAAAGAAAAAATATATCAAATGTAAAAGCTTAAAAACCAGAAAACAATCCAAAAGAAGCAGGTAATTTTACTCTTTTTTATTTTTATTTTAATACGGAAACCCTTAAAATAATTCCGATCTACAGGGTTTTACAAAAAAATAAAACATACTGCACAAGTGTGGTTCTTTTATGTATTTTGTGTGTTAAGTACTTTAAACTTAACAATTTAGGCCTTTGTGGCACAATGTTTAGTCACCACATGTTTGGATAAATCATCTCAATATTCTACAAATAGGGTTGGGTGAGAAGACCCAAACATAATTAGATATACAATTCTGACTACAATGATAAATCTGACAAAAAACCAAAGTTAAACAAACAGTATTGATATTGCATCTCTGTTATCTGGTATTAGTACTATAGCTCTATGAAATTAGTTTAATTTTTCTGTTGTTATTTTTCTGAACTGTGCTTTTCTATTCGAACCCTGTTTATTCAAACTTCAAACGTGTAATTACAAAGTGAATGAATGATGAATCAATAAACCAGTCACCACTGAAGTCAGAATGAAATGACTGTTGTTAAACTTTCACAAATATAACAAAGTGCTGCGATTCTGCAGAACACCGAGAGCTTTTGCAAAGTCTAAACCTTTACATTCTTCCCTGTAGAAAGGGTTTCCCTGCGCTTAAAACACCTGAATGCAATGAAAATGTGGGGGGGGGGGGATGGTACGTGTTTTTAGTGTTTTTGTTGTGTTGCACTTGGTTGTGCTGAAGTCTTCAGTCTATGGCTGAAGCATCACAGCAAGATGGGAGAATCCCCAAGACAATCCCAACCATCTCAAAGCTGCAACCTCAGCATCTGAGTCCAGTGAACACACACACACACACACACGCACACACGCGCACACACACACACACACACACACACACACACACACACACACACACACACACACAGTACCACACACCCATGCTTAGCCTCATTTTTATTATAGTCGTTTTTAGGTTAGTCTGTTTGATTTATTTTAGTAAGTAAATTATGAGATGTCAAACTTGTTTCAAACCTCCTAAAAAGGTGTTTTACTAATTATGCTATTCAGCAATAGCAGCCAAAAAAATCATCATACAACAGGAAGCACTCAAGTATGAAGCAAGAGCAAGAAAACAAGAGAGGCACCAAAAAGGAAGCATACTCAACCACACAAGGGGAAGTAAAGCTAAAGTTTCAAAAGCAAGACCCACCTTGTGTCATTTAATAAAATAACAAAAGCTTGAGAAATCAACTCCATTGCTGAGTAAACAATTCACAATGACATGTAGGGTATTTTTACTGTTTGGGATGTAGCTAAAGTCTTTAAAATAGATGAATATTGTTTTAGAAATAACAAAATTGTTAAAAAGTTGTATTTAATTTAATGTGTTATGTTAAACAGGAGTACAGGGAAGGTGAAAATGTTGCATTACACGCAGGACGCAACAAGCCTATGAGCTAATTCGACCAATGTTTTCTTGACAGTTTTAACTGAAAACAGCTAGAATTTCCTGGATATCTTGAAGGTATACCTTCAATTTTTAAAGATAACCATAGAAGTCCAGTTGTTTAGGATAAAAACTGTAAAGATCAGCATGTCCTGGATGACTCTACACCAACATTTTGACCTGAACGTGTTTGTCCTTGGGCCAATTCCCATTACAATTATGCAACACGAGTGACAGAGCTGTGGTTACACCACAAAAGAGACAATAGAAGCAAGAGACAGCATGGAAGAACACATGTGAGGATGCTAAACAATGACAAACCAGAAAGTAAAAAAGGAGTGAGAAACAGAAAGAAGGGACAGATAAAAAAGAGGAAGAGCATGACAAAGACTTTACTATCAGCTCAAAGGGAAGTGGTCCAAGAATGTGTGTGGCAGAAAGAAATGGAGGAAAAGAAAAAATAGACTTCCTTTGTAGAAAATGAGGGAGGAGAAACTAAACATGCTTAAAATGCAGAAGAACACGGCGCTATCTGCACAGGCTGAATTTTCCAGTAAAACCTGTGAGGGTTTTGCGACGGGAATGACTGGAATGACTGACGCCGACTCTCATGTGAGTCTCTACGTGTCATACAAATGTGTTTCCCACATCTTAGACTGGGAGCGGTTTGTCACTAAAGCACAGAACACCAGCAAAAAAGCAAAAGTTAGCAATAATACAAAGACGCAGATGTCGTGTCAAAAATGGGGCCATGTTTACCGGTGAACTCTAAAAAAGATCTGACTGTGACGTAACAGCTCTCAGTTCAAAGAGGACAGGATGTTTCTCAATATTTTTATACTTGTTTTCCCCACTTGAGATGGCTCTTTCTTCACTTTGGCAAAAAGTTAAGCAAATGGTAAATAAAGAGCTTACATGTTCCCATAAAATACATTTCCAGCATATAAAGTGACATTTTGCACGTTTGGGCAAATCTGAGAAGTGAAATGCTCGTGTAGCTCACCACACGCTTTAGCAGCAGTAATGCATAACTCCTCTGCCACGTATTCTCCAGGTGGAAATGTGAGGGTGTTTTCCAAATGGTCGGCCCCCGCTCGAGTCTTCCCCCAGTGATAAAGGTGGACAGTTAAAACAGTGCTCTTGATGTCCTGTTTGAGATTGTGTCCATTGGGAGTGTTGAGTTCTGAGAGAAGGATGTTCTCAAGGGTCGGTGGACTGGATAATGGTGGGTTCATGTTGGTCAGCAGCATACAGGCCATGAGCTGCTTACAGATCACATCCACCTGGCATGAAAACAAATATGACAGGGAACAAAAACAACAATGAGTCACTATGTTCCCAACACGGAAGTGCCAAAAATTGCAGATCCACCTTCATCTGCTAGGGGCTTGCACCAGAAGCAAGAAAATCCTCCTTCACTCCAATGTTAAAAATGCTAATTTCACAGCAGCAGTAAGCATGTTTACAGCCTGATTCGGAAAACCCTCAATAGATCTAGTTTACAGTCATGACATCTTTAAGGGGGGTGAAATTTTTTTGTAACTCTTCCATTCAGGTGTAACTAAATGCTTGAAATTATGAAATAATTAGATTTGCTTGACAGGTAGCATGAGCGTCAGAGCCACATCAGAGCTAGTGCTTGTGGCTAGCTATGGAGAAAGGCCTCAGCCTGCGACTCGCATTATTAGTTGTTTGGCTATTTCAACTCTCTGAACTTTACCTGTGTCCTCTGAGTGTTCATATTCGGATGTTAATAATGGAATTATTTTGACTGAGAAAGCAAGCTGTGGTACTGATTGCACTAAAAGATCTTCCAATAAGTCACTACTTCATTTTCATCAGCAAATAAAATTGCATTTCTGGTCTTTCAGGGTTTCTCCCAGATCTTTATAAGCCAGGAGCGCTACCAGGCCTTGATTGTCGCCCTGCCAGGCTAAGCGTCCACCCCACTCCCCCGCTGTTACGGTTAACGAACTGTAGCGGAACGGTTCGTGCGTTCTTGGGCAGGCTATGTCCAGCTATGTCAATAGTCTATCTGACTGGATCCAGTCAGTTCTCAAATGATTAAAAAAAAAGAAAAAAATTGCAATAAGAAGAACAACCAGAGAGACATCATTCTGAATATCAGAGTTCGACAAAAGCATTTACTGTCTACCCTTGATGCAGCTTCTATTACCATATATCTTTGAAATCACAAGAATCTTAGCTTTCTAATGAGCTAATGAATTCATATGTATATGTAAATAAATAGTTCCAAAAAAGACATTTATGTGATATGGAAGTTTATAATGTCCCAACCGCAAGAATAATTGCTTGTAATACAAAAAACAGGGGAATGGCTCGACCTATATGGTTGATAAATTCATCTAATTGACAAACCTCATCAGGTATTGACATTAAAATCACTTTTAATGGTTCCTGTACAAAGATGTTATACTCTAGTTATTATGCTCTGATTGCATTGAAGTTAATTAAAGGGTAGGAAAACAACGAGGGTGGACAATATATCGGCATCGATACCGGTATCGGCCGATGTTAGTCATTTTTTAACATATCGGTATCGTCCGATAAAAAAAAATAAACGGGCCCATATTATCAACCGACATTTTTTTCCATCTGGTCACCATTTGTTTGCCTGCTTCCGAGGGTGAGAGGGGTGATTTGTAATTGTTTATTCATGTCACAGTAAAGTGATCATCTCGGAAGCGTAAATGTGTGTGATGTGTGTACATAATAACATAACTTCAGCTTTAATAATTTTCATTCTATACAAAATCTGCTGATTTTGGAAGCATTAATGTCAGTATGTCAATATCGGCAAATATCGGTATTGGCCCACAAATTTCATATCGGTGCATCACGAAAAAAAACTTTTAAACATATATTTTTATTTCTATTTTATTGTGTACATTTTTATGTTATCTGAAAACACAACACAAATACAGCTCAGAGTCTCAGCAGTCTCGTAGGTGTTGTAGGATGGTTTCAGAACGATGCTCTCCGCAGTGGCCTTAAAATGCTTTGTAGTTTAAGAGAAAGACAAGCCGAGTCTTTCTTTGAGCTAATGCAAATATTACAGAACTCCACACATATTATGAACACTGTGCAACACTCTCATTTCATGTCAATTCACTGCATAATAATTGTGCACCTACATCTGAGGAATTGGAAACCCAGATTAGATTATAAATACAGCAGCAAATCTTCTAAATTTCATTTTCCATCACAATAAAGAAACAATAATTAACAGCCGCAGGACTGAGCTCAACAACAAAGGCAGTGGTTCAACAAATCTTTTTAATCAGTTAAATTATTTGTATCTGTATGTAAACAGCACTGCAATTGTTTGTGCATCATCAGTATCACGTGGTAGCCTAGGATGAGTCCAAAATCAATAATAATGGAAAACTCAGTTCTCCCATCATTTTATGTGTTTACACACCCAAAACATTTATCACAGAACCAACAGGCAGAGAGGCAAATGAGTCTTATCACTCCCACTGTGCTTTCTGAGGCCATTGCTATCAGTTCAGCCACATTTGACATCTTATCACTGCTCCAGTCTGCTACTTGTTGTTTGTATGTCCTCTACTCTTCAACGGGCATGCAGAGGAGTTTTCAAACAAAACAAACTCTTGAGCATCATTAATGTTACTAAAAACTACATGTTGGACATTTACAATAATTCTGAAATTTAATTCTAAACCCCAGAAATTCAGATTGAGTCTACAGAAAAGAAAAAAGGCGTTTAAATGTTTCACAATAATATGTGGCACAATTTAGGTGCTGACTACTGAGCAAAAGCTTGGAACAAATCGTTTATTGTTGATCTGCTTTATCAACTTTTTGCTGAGCTTGAAATAGAAATCCATGACATCACAGTCTGGTTCATTCAGGAACAACTTTGTCTTTTGGATTGACCCCAAAAATTAAAGAACACTACTTTTAAAAGATAAAATGAATCCTAAGACAACAGGAAAAGGTTCCCAATGCAACAAGGAATTTATCTTTCTTTATTAGAATTCAGCAGAAAAGCATGTCTTAGTTTGCTAAACCTAACTGTTGCCTATTCCCATAAATGAAGGCTATTAAATAGCTGCTTTGTCGTTGCTGACAGTGACAGCTACAGGTACTTTTATGCAAAACAGTTATTTAAACTAGAAAAATTCCAGAAGAATTTTGACTGGGCCTCCCAGCTGCAGCATCATTTCTAACTGAAGAAGGAGCAAAAGCTTGGAAAGTCTTAGCCAATCAGAGTGCTTGGATTTTCCCAGTTTGTGAGTTGTGGAAGTGGGTGTGAAGCAATGTGAGAGAGACAAGAGTGTTATCAGACATAACAATTATAATAGTTTTTACTAGAAGAACCCCAAAAAGTATTGTTTAGCTTCTGTGTGTCATCCATGGGGGGTGTTGATCTCTTAATCCCCCTACAAAGCTAAGTGACTTTGAAACAGCAGTTTGTAAATGTTTATCATAACCATTGATCCAGCAGTGAATATACCCTTTAGTCACTGAGCAAACAGCATGTGTTGTTTTTGAAGTTCACCGTGTTCAACTCTCTATTTGTTTAAGTGTTTACAAATGAGCAAGAAACGTTTCTATAATACAGTAAGGCTTCACATTAGGGGTAGGAGAGTAAATCTACTTTGTAATGCATTACAAATGTCTAAACATGTTCAGAAACAATTTTAGCAATTACATAATGTCAAGGAATGTAAAGGGCTGGCCTCTGACATGAGGAAGTGCAGCACATAACAAAGACTACTCATAACAAAAATCTAACAGTAAGCAAGACATAAATGGTAAATGACCCAATCAATGTATGGTGCTTTCCAAGATCCACAAAGAGCTTTACACTATAGGAAGCCTTAAGCCTGGGGCACACTGGAGATGCAGAAGGCGGTGAGGAATAGCTGATCCGACAGATTTAGTTACTGATAGAGCTGCACAATATATCGAAAAATTATCGTCATCGCGATAACAGGACGTGCGATAGGCTCATCGCAAAGCACGTCAAAAACGGCGATAAATGTTTGGTTCAAACATTTCCATCCGTGTCATACATCAACTTTTTGTAAACCAGCTCTGTTTTTACGCGGAGGTATTATTTGACCAATCAAATGTAGCCCTTCTGATATGCAGCCAATCAGATGGATCCGTTCATGTAATACACCCGCCCCCTACGTAGACGCTTACCCCAAAATTCCACTATCTCCGCTCCGCCCCCGTTTTCCGCTGCCGCTCGCTTCCCTTGTTCGTCATGCTGGCTCAGATTAACGAACGCACTTTGTGCTGAGGTTTCTGGAATCAGCGCTGCTTTCAAACGTGAACGTGAGTCCGCTCGGTGTCGTTAAGCAGCTGATAATAACCGGGCTGAGTCTGACTCTGACAGGTGCCGGTGAACCAACCCACCTTCATGTTGCTAGTGTTCCACCGGGTGATGACGTTAGCCCCAGGCTCCGGTTAGCTTCCAGCTAAAAGGCTACAGCACTCTCCTCCCAGTCCCACCATGCTAAAGAGGGCCTGGAAAGGTTCCCCCACACATCAAAGTGATTTTTCATTTATGAGCTTTTATAACCTTGTTAATCAGGATAGTTGATTTGCTGCTGCACATAAACTGTCAGTCAGAAGCTCTGCTAGCCGGTTATCTTGCAGTTTTTTTCGATTGCTAATACTCAGAAAGTAAAAATGAGGCACAATTTTTACAACCTTTACTTCTGTTCCCAATCGCTTGACTCAGTTTATCACTACTTAAGATTTCTTTATCATATTAGAACTCTGATTTTCCTCCTTTACACTCTGATGTCAATTTCACATTACCTTGCTGTCAAAACACAACACAATTTTCAGGTTTACACACACTTCTCACATAAATTCTCAAAGCTTCAATCAATAACACACAAATATTCAAATCTCTAAACTTTCGGGTCTGGCGAGCAATTTGCAATCAGGGACTGCAGCATAAAAGTAAGTTTCCACAAGGATACCCAGGTGTATGAGTGGTTTCAGGACCACCCACGGTTTTCCATTTTATACCTTCCACCTTATTCCCCCTTCCTCAATCCCACTGAGGAGTTTTTCTCAGCCTGGAGGTGGAAGGTGTACGAAAGGAATCCACAGAGCCAGGTCCCACTGCTTCAAGCCATGGAGGAGGCTTGTAGAGATGTGGCCTTTGAGGCCTGTCAGGGCTTCATGAGGCACTCGAGGCAGTACTTCCAGCGCTGTTTGGACCAGGAGGACATCGCTTGTGATGTTGATGAGGCCCTCTGGCCAGACAGAGACC